TTGGAAAATGATATTACTTTGATTCTTTTTAATATACCTACTAAGCATGATACAACAAACCATGCCTACTAAGTCAGATAATCTTATCTGTCATTTGGCAAAGTGATTATGTAAAACTAATTTTGGGGGGATTTAAAAGTTCGAATGCATGGAGTTGATAGGATTTAGCTTAATAGGACAGGATTAAAGGCTTAAGTATCATCAACAGATGTATACGCTAATTAGGGAATTATCTTATCACTTTCACCAAACGATTTAGTCTTAAAAATGTTGATGGACAAAATGGGTAGTTGTTGTTTTACCATAAACCAAACTGGCGTTTATGACTTAATACATAATATAATGTACAAAAACTTTAAAATATCAAAAGCACAATATAAATCAAACAATTATCTTATGTGGTGTTTAAAATTTAGCTTAAAAAAGGCCTCTTACTAAATTGAAAAGTGGTAAAGCATCATTGCTAATTTCGCGTACAAAAACTATCACCATTGACTGCATGCTTAGTATTAAAAAGATCAGGTCTCTTAAAAACCGGCCAGGCATTTTTAACCTTAACGTCCAAACTTAAAATTATATGTCATGTCCAAGTATAGCTCTCATTTTTCATGATGAATGACATTATCGAAAGCTATATTACAATATTGTAATTTTCATAATTGATTATCAAATATTTGCATTTGATGCCACGTTTTGTCACCTACATAAGGTTTACTTTTTGGTCGAGGGAACAATTAATTATTTTACAGCCTAGGAGATTATCAAACTTTGGTAGTGTTATGTTTATGTTTATTCCCCATTGTTTTTTCTATTCTCTTGCACTGCAGTTGGTGCCTATATATCACCAATGAACAATTAATAATAACAAATAAATTATAATTATTAATTTTGATGCTTGTACGATGTCAACTTTAATTATTGGGCGAGCTAGTATGAATAAAAAATTTCTTTTGTAAATTAAAAAGTTACTTTACATGGACCGTGTGTTGAAATATCATATTTATCACCAATTAGGCCACATATTTTATTTATAAAAGGCAATGGGCGTAATTTCAGCTTTTTAACTGTGCCACCCCAAGTAACATTTTTAGTTTTATTATGGTCAAAATTTTGTTTTAAAGCGTTCTTGAAGACCATAATAAAACTTTGAAGACCATAATAAAACTTTGAAGACCATAATAAAACTAAAAATGTTACTTGGGCGGGGGTCCGGGGAGTATGCAATGCCCCCACGTGTAAGGGGGGTCTGGTGGTAATTTTTCAGTCTATTTTTATTTTAAACCCATAATTTTAATTTATATTATACAACTTTTATTATGAAGCAAACATCATACAAAAGCTTTATTCAACTTTTACTCAATGTCATTATCACCTGTAGGCTATTTTTATACAAAAGTATCTGTTTTGGCATGCACTAAATTCGTCAATTACTTGTATATGTGTATATACTTATTAACCCCCTGTCGATAACCAAAAGAGCTAAGAAGGACCTGTAAAATTTATTTTACAATTGTTTGTAAATTATTGATATTATTACTTTAAAATTCTGGGGTGGCAAAATGGTGGGTAATACAACTGCCACCCCCAAATTACGCCACTGTAGATAGCAATTTTAAAATACACTGAACTTTATATAATTTTTGTTTTGTTTCCACGTAAGATAAAACACTGTTTTATGAACAATTATTTTTTTCATATTTTATAACAATATGGCCGTATTAAAGTAAACAAAACTGCTTCTGGAGTGAAAAAGTGAGCTCTAATTTATAAATTAGACATATATGTGGAAAAATGTCGGCTCCAAAATAACTGAAAATCTGGTTAATTGCTAGACAAAATATTTATAAAAAAACAAATTAATCAAGCCGATTGTAATCACTTGTGTGTGAGGTCTTTCGATTTATTCGATACTATTTAGAACAACGTCTTTTATTTATAACCGAAGCTAATTAATAGAACATTGCCTATAATTGTAGAGCGCTTTAAGCTACCGTGTAGGTAATAAGATGTAAAATAAAGTTTGAGCCATTTTTTCAGACTTTTAAAATTATAGACATTACAAGCTCGCTCATAAATTTAAACGCAAGCTAATAAATAAACGTTTTTAACTCTGTTAGCGCATGCATTTTCGGAAAAAATGCACGCCATAGTTCACAAACAAAACAATAATAGATTCTAAGAGACAGGACAGCTCTATTTCGGAACAACTTAAGAATAAACCTGCACATATCAAATAAACAGTTTAAAATATTATTATATAAGCAGATTCTTGCCAAAATTAGATCATATTAGCACAAATTTCACCAAACTACAGTTTTACTTGCTCTAATTTTCAGAGAAAGTATTGGATCATAATTTACAGTCGTTGTTGTCCAGTAGTTTTTAATGATTGCCTTTCATTAAAAACATACAGGAAAGCTCAAAATCCATGCAATTCAAGATTACATAATTTTTTACAAATAAAAAAAATTAAATAAACATGTTAGTTTGCTAGTGGTGAAAGTTGCAATTAATAAAATCGGCAAATTTATGGAGAATTTAATTTGTGACAATGTATGGAAAAATGATAAGCACCATATTTATAAGCTATTTCAAGAATTAGCATATCCTGCATTCAACATTTTCAGTGCCACGATTTTTGCTACTAAAAATATTAAATAATAATGTATGTTATTCAAAAGATTGCCATCTTATCAAATCATAGTTCAATACATATAAAATGCTTATTTTTTCCTATAGATAACACTTGTTTGTTTATTAAAGAAAGCATGCGAATATATATACATATATATATATATACTTTCCGGAACCACTTTTTTCTTCACTTCACCTGCTCTAACGTACAGAAGTTCCGAAGTGTTGAATTATGGTATGTACGTACTATTTATAAATTTAACGAGTTCAACTGTTAGATAATAAAATTGAAAGTGTATAAAGTCGCCGGAACTAGACAAAAAATTTCGTGATGATTTTAATATGCTTCAAGTTTGATGCAAATTAATGGTTGTTTTATTGTTGAAATGTGAAAAAATTTAATGATATTTTAATTGATTATATTAATCTCGATGGAGTTTCGGGAGATAAAATTGGAACAATAACTCTTCATTTCTTTGCGTTTATTGTTTCTAGAACAAGTGAGAAACGGAAAGCGCATTTTATGGACTTAAATTGTACGAACGAGAATTTTACGAATTCTTGCATTTTTAAAGCTTTTTACGTGGATTTACTTGAGATTGGTTGAACACTTTTTAAATTTTATGATTTCACATTTTTTTTTTAATTTTTGATAAAAATTGATTTAGTAAATTCTTTTATCTATAGATAAAAAAATTTACTAAATCAAATTTAAAAAAAAAATTCATGCAGAAACCATAAAATTTAAAGTACAGGGTATACCCCATTGATAAGCCGTGATCCTATGGCGTTTTAGTCACGGGCTGAAGTTATACATTAGGAAAAAGTGAGGTTAAATCCGTTGACAGTTGGATGTCAAATGTCTTTTTTGTGTTCATCGTATATAAAATATAAACTTCTTTAGACACTCGTTTTTTCTACTTTTTTCTACTCCCACCTTTAAAACGTCCTTTATCGTACATGTTTCCATGACACTAAGTGACCTTTTAAATACACATTGACAAGTTGTGGCTTTACGGCGCTTTAGTCACGGGCTGAAGTTAGTTTTAAGTTAGTTGACAGTTGTCAAATGACATACAATCGTTAAAATAAAGTGCCTTTCTTGTAAAGTAATACTAAATGTGAAAATTATTTTATTACCTCAATACAAAAATATTAAATAGTTTCTCAACGCCAATATTTGAAAAGTTTATAAGAACATTGTACTGACCTTTTAATTTCGCCGGCAGTAAACTATAACTTAAATTCGGGCACGGACTCTACTGTAAAGTCCTCATAAAACATTTCCTTTACTTTCACTGTGAAAAACTGCCAATTTTCAAGATACATTTCGATTTATAACCTTTATAATTCTGTTTATAAAATGTAAAAATGTGACATTTGACAGTTTCCCCTGTTGTTTCATAGATGGCGCTCTATACAAATTTTTGATTTAAATCATTTTAAGATAATAATAAGTATTTGTCGTAGAAAAAGTATAGTATGCACCTCGTTTATAAACTTTTCTATACACTCATTAATTTAAGAACCTAAAGTGCCTAAATTAAATTCGTGTATAAAATTGCGTTTATCAAACTTGATACATAATATACTATTATCTGCCCCTACATTGACTAGCTGTGACTTTATGGCGTTTTAGTCACGGGCTGAAGTTAGCAATAGTGGCTTTTGGGCATTTTAGTCACGGGCTGAAGTTAGCTTTATTATAAATTAGAGAAAAGTGAGGTTAATTCCGTTGACATTTGACAGATGTCAAATGTTTAACAAATAAAATTGGTCTTTGTGGTCGTCGTAGATAAAGTATAGTATGCAACTCGTTTTATAAACTTATCTAGACACTCGTTTTTATTAAACACTCGCTTGCAAGCTTCGCTCGTGCTTAATAAAACTCGTAACTAAAATGGCGTTTATAAAACTTGATACATAATATACTATTTTTCTTTTTTAATTAGTTTTTACAATATAAATCTCACAAAATATATGCATTTGGAAAAATTTGATATTTCTTACTATAATCGAGTTTGGTAAATAAAAGGTTTTATATGCTGGTATTTTTTTTTGCTTTTCTATGATTTTAATGTTTTTTATCACAAACTTAATTTAGTGTTTTTGTAAAAATTTGATTTTTACCATTCAATGGTAATTTTTTTAAATTATATAATTTAAATTATTATTATTATTGTTAATATTCTTATCAGAAAATTAAAAGAATTTTACCCTTAAATGTTTGATAAAAAATATTTCGGTTATAATTATTTTTTTGTTAAAATTTGATATGGTTTGTGGCTGACCTAGTTGCATAGTATAAATTGCAATTTTTCGTTATTTTTTTTTTAAGTTTGATTTAGAAGTGGAGTGTGACTTACTGTAATTGCTGGTGTCATCGGTGGTTCCGTTGACGGTGCCGTCTGGAAGTATTTGAAGGTGTCGGTTTTTGATGAACATTCTAACTTTTCTGGCGGTGCCGCCGACGAGAGACAAATTCGTGCTGCGTTCGCTTCGGGCTGCTGAATCTTCTTCTTGCAGTGGCGGCGGTTCCTGGTCGGTGGTGTTGGAAATGACCGTATCTTCCTGATGTTGCTCGGAAACGATAGCGGGTGCAGAGAACACGATACCACAAATCGTTGCAGCTAAGAGCCCCACAAAAAGCGCCTTCACCATGACTGGGACATGATGTGTCGCACACTGTCACTGACTGCCACAGGCTATGCCGGGCCGATCCCGGCATTTAGACCGCAACCAGAGGACGGTCGTCATTACGATATTTTATCACTCACTCTCCCATGCGTACCCGCTCTCTTGCTTTGCTTGCTACTGGCTTCGACGAGCAACGCGAGCTAACTAAACCAACTTGCACTACACCACAGGAACGGAATCGGATTTGATGCTGCTGCTGCTCCTCCTGCCGACGTCTCCAGATTCACGTCTTCAGCCTCCTTCGACGTCTTTCGCACCACCTTTATATTCGACATCCATTTAACCGGCCCCTACCAACGCCGAACGCCAAGCGACCAACGACGTGACTCCGCTCGCCTATCGACTTCATATTTTCATCGCGATTTTTAGCGGCTTTACCATTAAAAGCACCAGGTTTTTCCGACCTTCATTCATCATTCACCACACTACACTACACTTTACTATACTTACATACGTGATTGCACCTTGCACCTTTCCTTAATCATTACACACGCGCGCTTCTCCTCATAATCCTTCAGAATTTCCATTATTTGTGGAAAACATACTCCAATCATTGTTGTTCTTTTAACATGTTAGTCATCCTTAACATTGAAATTTAAAAAAAAATATTTTTTTTTATTACAAAAGCTCAAAAAAATTATTTTTTGAAAATAATTTTTAAAATTTTTTTTATTTAATAATACACAGAAAAAACGGTGAGCCATTAAACCAATGGGACCTTATAATCCGTATTCCTGAATAACAGTTCCTATAATACCAATAGGTAGTTAGCACTTGGTTTATAATCGTTTACTGTTTTTAAATTAACAACAAAAGTTATCGCTCCTAAATCTATTGATATTCATATTGATATTTATTTGTTAAAATGTTAGAATGTTATTGCATTAAATACTAATTTGATTTATTTAATAACGATACTATTGTATGTATACATTTAACGCAATAAATTCTTTGACATTTAGGCAAAATATTTCCCTATTTTGGTTTAATAGTAATTAATTGAGCAAATAACAATTTAGATTGCTTCAATTTTAATGCATTCAATGACAGCGCTGTTAGATTTTTTTCTGTGTAAAACTAGAATTTCAATAGTATGTATCAAGTTTGATAAGTGCTAAATTAAATGAGTGCCTAGAAACGAATTGAATACTATACTTTTTCTACGACAAATACCTAAAAAAATGATTTAAATTAAATATTTGTATAAAGCGACATCTATACGAAAATAAAGTAACCATCCCAATAAACATTTTTGACGTAATTTTCATCATTAACATTGCCTGTTATTATTCTTATTAGTAAAATATGATTATGTTAAGAAAATATTTTATCCTTTAATTTTTTTATCGCTATAATTGTAAAATATTATCACAAAGTATTAAAAACTACAAAAAGTGACAATTGTAAATCAAAATTTATCCCTGGAAAATCGATATAATCTTTTTAAATATAAGCGTCAAGAAAGTATTTAAAACTTGTATTGAGATAATAAAATAATTTTCACATTAAGTATTATTTTACAAGAGAGGCACTTTATTTTAACGATTATATGACATTTGTCAACTGTCAACTAACTTCAGCTCGTGACTAAAAACCTGTTGCTAACTTCAGCCCGTGACTAAAGCGCCATAAAGCACAACTTGTCATTCTTCGATCAAGTATGTATAAAAACGCTTAAATCTCTGAGAAGGCAGCGAAAGTTACATTTTCGTTGCGCTTGTCATGAAATAGTACATTATGTATGAAGTTTGATAAACGCCATTTTAGTCACGAATTTTAATTAGGCTCGAGCGAGTGTTTAAATTAATGAGTTTATAGAAAAGTTTATAAACGAGGTGCATACTATACTTTTTCTACGACAAATACTTATTATTATCTTAAAATGATTTAAAATGTAAAAATTTGTATAGAGCGCCATCTATGAAACAATAGGGGAATCTGTGTGTCACTGTCAAATGTCAAATTTCTATATTTTATAAACACAATTATAAAGGTTATAAATCGAAATGTATTTCTTGCAAATTGACAGTTTTTCACAAGTAAAAAAAATGTTTTATGAGCACTTTACAGTGGAGTCCGTGCCCGAATTTAAGTTATAGTTTACTGCCGGCGAAATTAAAAGGTCAGTACAATGTTCATATAAACTTTTCAAATATTGGCGTTGAGAAACTATTTAATACTTTTGTATTGAGATAATAAAATAATTTTCACATTTAGTATTATTTTACAAGAAAGGCACTTTATTTTAACGATTATATGACATTTGACAACTGCCAACTAACTTAAAACTAACTTCAGCCCGTGACTAAAAACCTGTTGCTAACTTCAGCCCATGACTAAAGCGCCATAAAGCCACAACTTGTCAATGTGTATTTAAAAGGTCACTTAGTGTCATGGAAACATGTACGATAAAGGGCGTTTTAAAGGTGGGAGTAGAAAAAAATAATTTCCACATTATTATTTCATAAGAGGGGCCTTTATTTTAACAATTGTATGACATTTTCCAACTGTCAAACTAACTTTATCCCGTGACTAAAAACCTGTTGCTAACTTCAGCCCGTGACTTAAAGGCCATAAAACCACAACTTGTCATTGTGTATTTAAAAGATCACTTAGTGTCATGCAAACATGTACTATAATGGGCATTTTAAAGATGGGAGTAGAAAAAGTAATGTACATATCGAGTGGCGAAAGGCACTGTTCAGAAATCGCCGCCTTTCGCCACTCCATAAAACATTTTTACTATTTTTCGAGTGTTTAAAAATGTCTATTAAAATAGGTGTTTATAAAATTTCCTAAATATTTATACGCAATAGTCTAATAAGTGAGCATGTATCATGGGATAGTAACTTATCGTTTTCGGAACATTGCCAATAAGTCTAACCCACATAATCTTGTGACCACATCACGTTCGGTTGCTACCTATATTCTATCACGTAGCCCATATTTCCAAAAACCTTTATTCATCGCCTAATTAAATTCAATCCTTGTCCAGGTGAATAATTCGCAGTGTTTGGAATTTGAATATTTATGTATATATTTTCAATATTTAAAATTAAACAATGTAAAGTGTTTTATAATAAATTCTCAGCTCATTATCACCTAGTTAAATAGAACGAAATTTTTGTAAATAAATAAAAAGTTTGGCGTCAGAACGCTATAAACACTGTATGGCGTGCAGATAGTCATATAATAGAAGGTATATTTTGTATCAAGTTTGATAAGCGTCATTTTAGTCACGAATTTAAATTATGCACGAGCGAGCTTGCGGGCAAGTGTTTAATTAAATGAGTGTATAGAATAGAAAATGAAATAACTAATGTCATAAGACTTCATTTTATATTTTATAAAACGAGCGACGAAGGAGCTAGTTTTGTAATGGACGAGTGCGACAAAAGGTCTTATGACATGAGTTCTTTATGCTATTTTATCTATTTTGCAAATATTCTTTAAATAAATTAATTTTATACCTTAAATTTAATTTGGTCGAATTTTACTTTAGATAGTTGGTATCACAGTCATTGGTTTGACAGTTAATGTCAAAATCGATTCGTCATGCCGTCCTTAATTTACTTATTTACAATAAGCGGCTGTTAATGTTAAATAAGAAAAAAAAGATTTTCTTTGGTGTTAAACAAAACTAATTGCCAGAAAGTCTCGTAAGTACTAGAAAAATCATAAAAATATTATAACCAATATGCAAAATATTATGCTGTTTAAAGTATAGCAAAATAAATAAAAGTTTATAAAAGAGTTGCATACTATACTTTTTTTACAACAAATACTTATTATTATCCAAAAATGATTAAAATTAAATATTTTTATAGGGCGACATCTTTACAAAAATAGAGTAACCATAAGAATGGAAATCTGTATTACCCTCGAAAATAGACTAACAGCTGTTCAAATCCGATTTAGAAGTAGTTCTTCACAGTCAAAGTAAAGAGGATGTTTTATGGGTACTTCACCCGAAATTTTTAATGCTTTATCGGCAAATACTAGTTTACTGCCGGCGAAATCACAAATCAAAGGTTGGCGTCAATAAACTATTTAATAATTTTGTATTGAGACAATAAAATAATTTCGACATTTAGTATTATTATTATTATATAACTTCAGCCCGTGACTAAAGCGCCATAAAGCCACAGCTTGTCAATGTGTATTTAAAAGATCACTTAGTGTCATGAAAAAATGTACAGAAAAACACATTTTATTTAGCACTGTCTTCTGTCTTTTAAATAAATGGTTTTGTAGTGAAGGAAGCACTAATTAAATGATTTTATGTCGAATAGATTTTCTTGAATAGTGAGATTTTTTTTTACTGTATTTGTGTATGTAATTAGTAAATGCGGTTTAAGTAGTGTATCCAAAAATAAATTGACAGAAGATGAACCAGTTAGTGGGTTTAAAATTAAATCTTATAACAATTGTCTCAATTGGAACGAGTTAGAGAATATATACGAGAGGCGTGTTGGAACGTTCGAAAAAATTTACATAATAAGATTTTTTATTTAACCATAAAATGGTTTAATTTAGAGAATTGTAGTTTAAATTGTAGACTTTCAAGGGTTTAAGGGTTTAAGCGATTATTCTAATTACTTTACATGCTGTACTTTTGTGTGGTATCACATTTAAAATCCGTGTCCTACACTTCTTGACAATACTTGTTGTCACAATGAAATTTGATACGGACATAACGTTTAATACTTCCGCATATTAAACAGAATAAAATTTTATTTCGAGTTTCGTCGTTCTATAGGCAATAATGAATGATTTTTGTATTGGCTCTCTTCTTATAATATGTATATTTAAACATGTCTCAATAACTTCAGGCAGCTGTAGGTATCTTTGAAATATTGGAGTTGAATGCATCTTATTTTCGAATAAATTCATTTCTAATGAAAAATAACAAAAAAAAACCTTTTCCTACTATGCTAGACCGCAGACATCGATACACATCTTATTGTATTCAAATATATCAATATTTTTTTGCGTTCATGGGTTTGCACCTTCTAGGTATATTGTTTACAAATTTAGAGGCAGAGTGTCTGATTTTGATATGTAAAGAAATTAAAATATTTTTTTACACACATTATCGTACATGTTTCCATGACACAATAAAACGGATTTAAACGATTTTTAGTCCATTTTCAATTATTACAAAAAAATTTGACA